AATATTTTTACACAAGTTATTATCCTGAAACTATAAAAATGCTTCTTTTGGGTCCCTTTAGGGCCCCTAATTCCTAAACAAATGGGCCCATCATTTTTCAAAATCAATCTCATCCTTTCTTTTGTGGTAATTGAACCTAAATAAAAAATTTCATAGACATCCATTCACTTAAACTTAAGTTATTGTCCGGAAAACAAATGTGTCTTCTGACAACGACAACAACGACGACGCAGACGACATCATAGCATTATATGATCTAAAAAGGAATTTTGCAGTCCTATAAAAACTTATAGCTATGAACAAACCATAGGAATATGATTTATAGTTTAAAATATTATCCAGCCCTGAATTTTTTTGGCAAAAATTTAGCGTTCTCACTAAGGCAAGTCAATGAGCCTGGGACAATTGAAATTATGTGTAAACTCATAATTTTAAAACTGGCGAGTCTATCAAATATGCACCAACATTGAAAAATGTTGAATCAACTGAGCACATGTACCATAACTTTTTAACAAGGATTTTTAAATAATGTAAATATAATTTCATTTCCTTGAACATGTTGAACTGTTCTATTTTGTCATGGAGACTGAAATAGTGATTTATATCGAAATAAATTTGCATCTTCACACTGTTGGAGTAACCAGGGCCAAAAATGTCCCCTAGACTTGCCATCAGAATTCCTTAGTGAAAACCCTTAGTTACTTATTTATAAAAATTACTTTTATGAGTTTGCGTTTGTGACATTTATTTTATTTCTTCAATTTCTGGTTCATACATGTTTTTTCGCAGTCATATCGGATCACAATGGTGATATGCATAGTGTTGTTAGAGTGACACACACACTCCTAGTGGTTAATTTTCTTTACTATTTATAAGCTGTGTTAACTGTTGTTAGCCTCACATGACAATTGCAAGGTAAAATATATGCCACTATCCATCATAATATTGTTTTGCAGCAAATTCAAGCCAAATTTAAGATCCTTTATACATGTCAATCTGTATTACAGGAAATACATGTACTATTGTACCAATTTTGTACATAATCTTCTACAGAAATAATGCAGGAAATATTTGATACTGGACATTGGATGTGTTCTGGTTGATATTTTAGTCGTACATATCTTAGATAAAAGATTTTTTTTTATTATAGTTGTTATTGGCTTTGAACTAGCGGCCAGCAACTGTGAGTACTTTAAGACTTGTAGCCAGTGAACCTTTTGTTGTGCTCATGTATAAAATCCTGGTAACATCTGCTCTGTTTTTTTTATATTGTTTTCTGGTTTGGGTCGATCTGATGAGCCCTTTTCAACTGATGTTTATAATTTGTTCTTATGTTGTAACGTTACACTACTAGGTTGACTCTTCAGAACATGTTTAACCATGCAAAATTCTATTAAGTTCCTGTCACAATCCTGTAGTTCGGCTGTTGATTGCTCATGTTCGCCATATTTGTTTTACATAAATTGTTATGATATAAATTAGGCCATTAGTTTTATCAATGGAATAGTTTCTTTTTTTATGTAAGTGCCTTATATCATGTATATAGCTGACTATATGGTATGGGTTTGTCTCATTGTTGAAGGTCATACAGTTGCTTATAATTGCACCTGCCTAAAGTATGATGTCCTTGGTGAGAAAGTGTTCTAAGTAGCCATACTATTATAATCATTTGCCAGTCGACACTAAGCTCAGGAGTTCAAATCTTCATTAAATAGGATTTATATATATATATAAACAAGTCTAAAGTGAAAACAACGTTCAAACCTAGGATTGCGTTGGATAAAAACCGCAATCTTTATACGTGTGCATGCAAAACAAATTTCTTGGTAGAGGGGTCTAAATACAGCACAAACAACATTTTCCAAAAGACCTAAAAAGTGAAAACGTATATTTTAACAAAACGCATTTGACTAGCAGGTCGAACAACGGATGTTCTTAAACCCTGCTGACTGCCATTGGCGATTGCCAAATAAACGGATCCCCAGATGTAACAAAATGGATCTTAACTTTTAATTTAATACCAAACAGAAAACAATAAACTTGCGGAAAAGATGGTATACCGCAAACAAAAGGTGCAAAATTAGTACACCATATCCGGATTTCGACAATTAATGTCTCTTCAGTGATGTTAGGAATCGACACGGTATTTGGAAGGCCATATAATTTACCTCAATTTAGGATAGACTCTTGAATTTTGAAGAGTCGAAATAGGATGAACGGATCATATAAACCCGAAGGAAAATATAATACAAGTCCAAACGAAAAATATAAACAAGTCTAAATTGAAAACAACGTTCAAACCTATGATTGCGTTGGATAAAAATCTTTATACGTGTGCATGCAAAACAAATTTCTTGGTAGAGGGTCTAAATACAGCACAAACAACATTTTCCAAAAGACCTAAAAAGTGAAAAAGTATATTTTAACAAAACGCATTTGACTAGCAGGTCGAACAACGGATGTTCTTAAACCCTGCTGACTGTCAAATTCATTAATCTATAACCTGTTGAAGCAACGTTGTGTACAGTTTTCTTCAAACCTTCACGGTCATGATAAACACGATACCTTTCTTTCAATCTCAATAAATTTAGGGTTGTTTTTTTGTTGTAATATGAGTGAATGAAAGTTCTGGTAAGTGTCACTTTATTTCCTTCTGATGATGAGCATTTATACACATTTGTTTGTCTGCCACTGGTGTATTTCCCATCTATTCCTTGTTTTCTGTAGCGTCCAGATGCCATTCCAAACTTTGTAGATGATTTCCTACCTCCTCTCCTTGTGACAGCCATAATAAACAGCGAATAATCAACAATTTGTATATAATATAAATAACTATATAGAAATGACCTTGGCTTTTTTCCTCCAGTGTTCAATAAAATGGTAACACAATATAAGACGAATAAACAAACATCTTTTTTCATGTTTGTATTGATATAAATTGCCAAAAGGCATAATCTGTACATTAAAACAACAAAGAAAGTGTTTTTTTTATCAATTGCAATAATGAAAACAACACCAGTGATCAACGATCACGAAACAGAAAGTAGGGTTTAATAGGGGATCGGTATAAAATATGGGTGATCAAACACAATGGGGACATAAAAGGGTATCAACCTACCAACTCGATAGCGTAACATCTAAGTATTTACTCCGTAAATTAGTATACTACTCATTTCCATTTTTCTTGTTCAAAGATCAGCCTAACAGCATCTTCCTGTGCATAACCGGAAGTACCTACAAAGAAAATAGTCCCTGTTGGTTTGATAGAATAATTAAATATTGTATGATCGTTTAACCATAAATTGATTTTAAAAACTTTATTTTAATTGTTGTTGACAAATTTCAGAAAATTTAAAAAATTTTTTTTACTTACTAAAAATGCGTATGAATGGACTTTATTTGGTGAGATGAAGAACGATGTCGAACAGAAACAAAGTGTAAACAATGATATTATGAGAGCAATGGTTAACTTAGGATGAAACCGATCGTGAAATTATTAAACGTATGGAAAATTTTCGACATAAACAATTGCAAAGTAAACTTATATAGCCGGATGATGGAAAATATATCGAGTAAAAACAGTGTAAAATTGTAGTGGCGAGTTACAACATGGCGGCGCCCATATTCTAAAACATTGCTGGAAAAGTTTCCAATTTAGGCATAAACGATTACAGTAGGTACAATTTAATTGCTGGCAGCAACTACCTATGAACACAAAAACACGTTTTTGTTATTTTCTTTCTGTCTACTGTGTCCCTTATTTCTACACATTTTCTTTCCCGAATCGTGTATTTTTGTGGCAAGGAACATATTTTTACAAAGTTTACATGAAATCGGAAAAGAATTTAAATAAATAAATTTTTGTTATGTTTTATTTCAAGCTGGGACAGTTAAGAAATGCTAAATTATATCTTTATGTTATGCCCATTACAAAGTAAATATTGCATCAAAATGTATTGAATTGTGGTAGCCATTTTGGAATCAAAGTATAAATATGAACCTTAAAGTATATTTTTTCGGACGTTCAAGATATCATTTATAATCCGTAAAACAAATCTAACGAAATTGACGAGATTGTTCATAACTATACAACACCTTATGTGCAATAACACTACAATTTTCCTTTAGACATTTTTTGGAAAACAGAATCGTAAATCCAACGCAAACAAAGGTGAATTACGATGAAATATTTATAAAGAGACTGTCAAAAATGGGGAATGAAGCAACGTTAAAAATGATGTTGATAACCCATGATATAAAAATGTTGTTCCGTGGATAACCTTTCTATCCGCTTTTTAGTTTAAAAAAATCCTTTTTTTATGATAACTGCATGTGATCACAAGTGTGTAATTTTATAGCCATTGTTTAATGTAAATAAGAATATGAAAAAAAAAGATTTTATAATATGTGTATAATATCTGCAACATAGAGTCTAACGAGTAAAGTAATTGAATTGCTATACTGGGAAAAAAGAACAATAAGATTGTTATTATTGTTTATGTTTACAATCCGAAAAATTAAAATAAAATGAACTTCGGTTTCAACCAATGAAATGTCGTACACCATTCATTCACACCATTCCCGACCGCACGTAACACAATCACACCATTCCTCATACACCATTACATCATTCCCCTTACACCATACACCATAGGACCATACACCTTCTACCATTGCACCATATGCCATACACCATTACACCATACACGTTTTTTTGGGAAGTTTACACCATCCAAGGGCTGTAACAAGGTAACTATTCACCTTAGTCAAATGATGTGAATGTAAATAACTATAGGTTACTTAACGACCTTCAACAATGAGTAAACCAAAATGTATTTGGCTATACAGACGCCGACATGACAATTATTAGACAATACAAACGAGTAAACTAAAGGCTTGATTTATAACAAATCAATTAACGAAAACGAATATGACAGACAACAACCAATGACACCGACTGACTTCGGAAAGGATTTCTTTATACATGTTCTCTTTTTCAGTTGCTGTGAAAATAGTCCGCACGGTAAACGTTCGAAAAAGAGGTGAGTTTCAAAGTATGTTATGACCTATTGCAAACATTACCTTAGTTGGAATCGATCACTTGACTGCTGATACGTTAAAACATATATGAAATATCTTAAGGATGATCGCTTCTCTGTTTCAAAATAAAAAGCTTTTTAAAAGACTATTATGAATTGAAAGTATATAAATAAAGGAACTAAAAAGGCAGAAAAAAATTAAGGATCTGTGTGTTTGTTTTCAAGATATAATTAAAAACAACAGTAGTATACCGCTGTTCGAAAGTCATAAATCGATTAAGAGAAAACAAATCCGGGTTACAAACTAAAACTGAGGGAAACACATCAACTATAAGAGGAAGACAACGAAACAACAGAAACACTGAATGCAACAAAAAACAAAAGACAGTGCAACACACACAGAAACGAACTATAAGATAAAAACTGCCATTTTCTTGACTTGGTACAGGACATTTATGAAAAAATGGTGGGTTGAACTTGGTTTTGTGTTTTGCCATTGAAAAGTTGGCGGGAAATAATTCTCTATAGACTTTTCCTACATTAAACATTGGCATATTTTTCTTTCAAAAGTATGAAAAAATAACAAGGATGTTAAAGGATTTTCGAATACGGCTTTTTAACACTATATGTAATAGAATTATGTAAAGAAAAGTATTGGTTAGCACTACATGGATAAAACCAGATGATTCCGAATATCTGTCAAAAATCCAAAAACAAGAAGAACTACCATACTTAATATTATGACAATACAATTTGCAGTAAGTCATTTCACAGCTATATTAATTGTGAAAAGAACATGTATACACAGTTTGATTAGGGGCCAGCTGAGGACCATTTCCGGGTGCGGGATTTTCTCGCTGCGTTGAAGACCCATTGGTGGCCTTCGGCTGTTGTTTGCTCTTTGGTCGGTTTGTTGTCTCTTTGACATTTTCCCCGTTTCCATTCATAATTTTATCGAAGTACAGGAATAAACTTGAATTGCGAGATTAAATGAGGAAACAATATTTATTTTATATGGTATCTTAACCTATTTATCTTACATGAAATACCAGATAACTATAAACAGAAACTATGCATGACTAAAAGACTAATTTCATAATTTGTTTTACAGAACATGAAATAAATACTAAAAATTCTTTAGAGAGACAGGTTATTGGTAATTGGAAAAAACTGAAGCAAACAATTAACCCTGATTTAATGCTGCGCTCAATTGTTAAGGAAGGAATTATCGAAACAGGTATTGAACAAAATTTACAGAAGAAATCACCGAATCTTCAAAAGAATCACTACTTGATATGTCTAATTCGAAAAGGAAGTGTTAAAACATGTTTAAGTATTTTACGAAGGCAAGGGAAATCTACTATGAAAGTACTTAAGGAACCAGTTGTTAATCCAAAATGGGGTAAAAGAAGTAAGTAGCCTATTATTTGATATGAATGTGTTGAGGTATCTTGTTTTGACAAATTCTTAACGTGAATGTTTACTATTAAATGATTTTCATCACAATATAAGATAAAAAGTAAAAATACCGAACTCCGAGGAAAATTATGCGCTAAATATGCCAAATTAGCTATTGTTTATGGTTAAATTTCATGCATCAAACCGCAGTTTTGAAATACTACATTGAATGATAATTCTATTATTCTTATTTTTATAGTTATTATTAAATATATTCAATGAAAAAAAAAAAATCTTTACACATGTACATAAACCAGGTTCTTAATTGTAAGACGTTATGAATGATAAATTAGATATTTAAAGAAATGTTTCTCAAACAGTCTCTTAAATTTGGTACATGCTTTTGAGACTTTATATAGTTGTAAACATTATGTTTTAAAAAATAACTTTTCCTCTGTTTATTAGAAATTACTTCATAATAAACCTTAGAATTATACTTACAACAATACATATGGACTTACTAATTGGCATTCCGTACGGTAACTTTTAGTTGTTTCTTTCTGTGTCATTTGGTCTCTTGTGAAGATCTAGAGTAGTTTCATTCACAATAATACCACAACTTTTTTTTATATCTGAAGAAAGAAACAAAAACACTGCCATCAAATACCAAATATATTAACGTAATGTATGTTTTGATTACCCTCGATCGAAATGACTCTTTTAGTTTGTTTATTCCACATATTGTATGAAATAGGTTTAGAACACTGTCGTCAACAGCTGGATAAATCTAAAGCATCGTTACTCGAATTCTTCAATCCAGACCAAGTTGTGGACAATTTCCTTGAGAGTTTTATTTTTGACATTAATGATTATGAAGAAATACTGAACTGTGAAGACTCAATGACTATGAAACAATGTTTTATAGAGAAATTAGAAAATTCATTATACAAAGGCTCATTTGAATGCTTATTAAAAGTGTTACAAGATGACGATGTTGGTTTTTTGTCAGAAGAATTAAAAACAGGTTTAATTCCAGGTAAGCTATTTTCATATTATTATACTCATAATTGGTATCGTTAATAGATTGGCTCTTGAATGTTGATGGCAGCACATTAACTTTGCATACACAACACAAATTTGTGTTGAGCTAAACATGAGATTTCGCAATTTTGCATTATCCAATCATGAGTTAAAATATTTTGGTTGAAAATGTGATATTAACCATAGCAGGATGTTGCTTTTAAAGCATATTAAGTTCTATTGAGACTACAACACAAAAATAGTCCTAGATTATATATATTTCAAAAACTGTTATGATCTTAATTTGAACCAGGTAGGATATAGAATTGCTTATAATTTGTTATATAGCCTCATGACAAAGGAATAGATTAGTTAGCTTGTTGAAATAAACGCATTTCCATCATGAGATAACTTGACATTTTATAAAGAAACCTCATTGACTTAAGGTATATCATAATGTGTAGGTTATTTGTGGAAGTTGTTTTTGGGAGATCTTTTTAATTGTCTCTTTTAAAATAATGCACAACTTGGGAACACGAATTTGGTAAATCATATGTTCATTTATGTATTAATGGCAAATATTGGTAAATTATACAAACAACTGTCTATTCGTGATAACAAAATGTTGGCCTCAATTTCCCTTTAAGTATTTATGTGTTTGGTTATTGTCGTTTGTTATCTATGATACGTTTTCATGTTTAACCTAATATACATACTTCGTTATTTCAATAAATGTAAGAAATATAAAATTAGATGTAAAAAGTGGATGTGATAACTGTTTCTTTAATTTCAGCGATAGGTTGCAACTGTGAAGATGGAATAATCTATTCAAATTGTAAAGGTAATGTTTAAGGTTAATACTTTTATTTTCTGTCTAGACATCTGTGGTTGCAAATTGAGTATTGATCAATCACAATACATATTCATTATTAAGTAGATAAAAAGAAGAAAAAAATATTCATCCTGTTTGAAAGATATTTTTTTAAAGTCCTCTCAAAGTACAGAATAGATTAATACCAAATTAATGATATTTCTTATGAGGGTGGTGAAATTATGCACCATGTGTTTTTTTTAATATCCATTGAGGGTTTATGGGAAAAACCTATGATACAAAAAAAGAGATAATAGTAGTGGTATATTGCAAGTAACTGCGGTTTGCAACTCCTTCATAACCACCTAATGGTTTGATGTGAAAGTTGTATTAGATACTTAATAAATATTCAGTTCTGCATCATATATTTATTTCTACAAGATAATTACCAGAGAGGGATTGTCCAAAAAAGAGAAATATCACTAATAAAGAAGAGCGCCTGCTAAACCACAATTTCTCCCAAACTAATTATATTACATTGCGTACAATTATTATTTGTCTAAATTGGATCTTTTATACTTTGTTGATATATTATTTGGGCTAAACAAAAAGAAATGGCATTAAGATATTTTGCAAATTGAGAAAATTTAGAATTTGAAAAATTATCAAATTTTACCATCATAGTAGTTTCGTTAAAGTTTGGATATTTAGACCATAATAAGCAAATATAGGCAAAATTCTAACCTGAGGTATTAAAAAGTAAAACAACAAAATACCGAACTCCCATGAGAACTCAAATCGGAACATCCCTTATCAAATGGCAAAACTCAAACGCTCAAACACATCAAATGAATTGAAAACAACTGTCCTGAATTGATACAGACATTTCCTTATGTAGAAAATAGTGGATTAAACCTAGTTTTATAGGTAGCAAAAACTCAAACTTGTATGACAGTCGCATACAATTCCATTATATTGAAAACAATGTGTGAACAAAACAAACAGACATAATAGGCAAACATGCAAAAAAATTTGGGTACATAACCCTGTTTCATAAAAGATCTGCCTAGACACTGATGACGTTTTATAAAGTCTGAGTATCATCAGCAAGCTCTTGGATACCTAATGAGATGGGAAATATATATCACATATACAGGTGAAATTGGTATATTGCTACAATGTTTGGGGAAATCGATAATTTCAAAATTAAAATCGTCTCGTTTGTCGTAGAATCTTATTTGCCAGATACATGTTGATAAACACTGGTATTTGTCAGTCTAAAACTGCTGAAAATGTCTAAATTGTAGCTTTATTTTTCCAATAAATGGCCATATAGAGTATGCGTTTCATAAAGAGACTGCCATTTAACATTTAATATTAAAAGAATATTTTGCACAGGGAGTAATTGCCATAAAGGTATCATGTATTCACAATTTCAGGTTAATGTTATAATATTTCATTTGGAGAGTATTGCATGGTTTTCTGTTAGGCTGGCTTCGGTTTTAATTTATGAATAAACTAATTCGCATACCATATACGCATCTACTTTACTACAATCAGTACCGTATACGTATGTAAAGATTAATCAAGATGCTCTGAAACGTCATGGTTATTTACATAAAATGTGGTTGTGTTTATGTACAATGTGTACGGTTTACATTATATGATCAAACACTTAAGTCTTAATATATTACTCTTGTTTAATAAAATATTTGTTTTAAGAAAGATTTAATAAAATGTATTTTATTGTTTCAGTTCCAGAGGACAACTATGAAGTCAATTTAACATTATCGTCCGGAAACTTAAATGAAAAAATTCAATTCGAATTTTGGGATTCATCTTGTGGTTGTCTTATTTGGTTGGCTAAAACATTTGCAGTGTACCCGGTCACATCTTTTGTCACCGGAAGTGCCACTTTCGACCCTTTATCCAATACCACTCTTAAACAACTCAAAGAAGGATCACAGTGCGGAAACTGGTCACATTTTATTGAAACTGTTTTTGATAATGAATATTTACGAAATTCGTTAAAGAATGGAAATGTCCTCATTGAAATGAATGTTTCAATAAATAGCGTTAGAACTGAAGGTAAACAAGGTAAGATATAGAAATTTACGAGTGTCCTTAAAATAAAATAAAATAAAACTCAAAAACAAACATCAAGAAAAAATATATGAAAAAAAGATTTTGACATACTCAATAGATACATGCATAGATATAAGAAGATGTGGTATGAGTGCCAATGAGACAACTCTCCATACAATTTGTAAAAGTAAACCATTATAGGTCGAAGTACGGTCTTCAACACGGAGCCTTGGCCCAAACCGAACAGCAAACTATAAAGGGCCCCAAAATGACTAGTGTAAAACCATTGAAACGAGAAAACCAACGGTCTAATCTATTTAAAAAAACGAGAAACAAGAAACACTTATGAACCACATCAACAAACGACAGCCACTCAACATCAGATTCATGAGTTAGGACAGGTGCAAACAAATGCAGCGGGTTTAAACGTTTTAATAGGTACCAACCTTCACCCTTACCAGGAACAATAGTGTAACATCACAACATAGAAAGACTCACTAAAAAATATCAAGTGAAATGGCTTAACTCAATCAAAAGACATATTAACACTAATGAACATACACTGAACGAGTAAATTTGATCTATGATACAATGTAAATACAAAATCATTAAAATAAGGGGTGAATAATTAAGGCAACAGTAGTATACCGCTGTATGCTGTAAATCAATAAAAAAAAACAACAATAAACTTGAACAAAAAGCTGCCATATACAATATTATACACAGGTAAATGAAAATAATTCTGTGAAAAGGTATACAGTTTAAAAGAGAATGGAAATATTTTTTACTAAATAAATAATTTTGTTGTTCATAGCACGAAGAAGTGAAAATTTATATTATCAATTTTAATGTATATTTGTTTTTTGTTATTGATCTTAGAACAACAAAGCTGTACATGCATGTGAATTTATCTTTATAGTGTGTTTTTGTATTTAAGTCTAAGATAAAACTTTTGTTATTAGTGGTTATTGGCTTTGAACTAGCTGTCAGTAACTACGAGTACTATCTGTACTTTGTGTAATTTTTTTTGTTAGGACTGTATTAGTACACTACTACCTCATGTCTGTGTTTTTTTTAACATAAACATATGTATGAGAAGGAGGAAAACCATACATAATGACTGAAAGAGAGATTTGTAAAATTCTTTGTCGGCGTTTCAATTTTCAAACCTGACCAGTACTGACATTACCGTAATAAAATTAGAATAACAAACAATGAATAAAAATAAACTTTCTTAACTTCTGTATTATTGTTTTATGAATACCTCCGTTGCCACATTTGTTTTTTTTAACCTGCAATTAGCTAGCTATTGTACAAATTACAGGTACATAAATAAATGTTTCCTGTCACCCGTTTCTATGTTGAGCAAGCGGTTATATTGATATTTCTTTTGCATAACAGTTCATTTTGGGTTCATCTTTGCGGTCCCCATCTAAACTATGTCGATTTCTCTGAAATATTAGAGACAATGATTTGGATTTTAACAACTAAAGTTTCAAGTGTCGGGTGTAAATTGCAGGATAAAAACAATATATGTACATTACCGGAAAATAAAACAAAATTTTACATTTTCCGACAATGTACATATATTGTTTTTATCCTGCAATTTACACCCGACACTTGAATTTTTTAGTTGTTAAAATATTGTATATGTATCATTCACCTGTTTGTATACTAGTTTTTACACTCAAATGTTTTTCTTTTTTTAGACAAACTATCACTACCATACTCAACGGAAGACAATTTATTTAATATCATTACAGCAAACAAAACTTTTCTTCAGTCAAATATTGACGTGGAGGAGCTAATAAGAGATTTTTCAGAAAAAAGGCAAACTATATTTCAAGAATGTGATGGTATACCAGGAATAGATCAAAAGTCACAAACGTTCGTCAACTTGCTAGGAAAAAACACAGACCTTATAGAGCAATTCATTCGGATATTAAAGAAAAAGCGAGAAAAAAACAAGAAAATATTGGATAGATTACATACTTTTCAGAAAGTATTTCATTCAAGTAAGACTTTAGATATGTATGGTTAACCTACAAATATATGTTGGTTTAAAAAGATAAGGAGACAATATCAGAATATGACAGAAATAATTCCCAATTACAAAGCAGAACATAAAAGGTAAAATGGAAAACAAGTATTCAATTAAATCTCTTCGGATTGCATTACTTGTGGTACAAATGATACCTTCTAGTTATTCTATTTTCAAAAGAAATTGAATCTTGGTCCAAGATGTTGATGGTATACATGAGGCATACATAAGGCACTTGTAGATTAACCTGCATGACATTATGGAACTTTTTTTTCAGTTATTAAAACACGTTAGATTAGTACGTTTATTACACACCATTATTGTTTTCAGATGCTGATATGTTACCTGATAATATCACGTATTATTTTCCGGAGCTAATTTCCATAGCAGATGATTTCGAAAATTTAAGAAATATTTTTGAAGAAAGGAATATCTTCTGTAGGGAACTAGACATTATTCAAGAAAAATGTAATAAAAATAATAATCGACACAAAATGATAGTTTTTGTAATTGCAATTTTGAAATCTGGAAGTACACGTACAATGCGTTCGTTAGTTGATGCTTTGTTTATGTATGAACACGATTCATTAGCAGAAAGATTACTTCAAAGAAAAGAAAACAACATAGAAGAGCCGGGTTTGAATTTTAAAGGCAAGTTTATAATTTTGTAAAATTATTTTAATTAACAACATTCTTTTATATAGTTTTGAGTTGATATTGAATTTCAATTTCTGAGAATTTTTAGGTCATTATAACAATTTTATCATCACAAACAACAATAACATTTTTTATTTATTTTGAGTCCGATGCAGTTTTCTGGATTAACCGTTATCAGGAATGCTCAAACCAAAACACACGAAAGCTTATGATGAACAATTCTATAAATACTTAAATACTTGTATCGCTATATGATCATAAGACACAAAAAAAGTCAACTTTGCATGAGGGAGTTGAAATTTCAGTTTCTAATGATTTTATGAATTTGTTTCCGGAAATCCAAGAAAAGTATGTTATAAGTCCTATAAGCACTGAAGCACTGACACTCATTATTCATTTGATTTTGCATACAATTAAAACATTTGAAATTAATGTCTTGAACTTATAAAGTATTTGAATGAATATAATATCAAATTTAAAAATGTATATGTAAATAAAAATAACAAAATAGTTAACTCCAAGGAAAATTCAAAACGGTAAGCGTGTTAATCCGTTATCAAATAATCATTGGCATTTTTGTAACTTAGTATAAACAAACTTGCTTTGTTTGTTTTTATTGATAAAGGAGGTTGTATAAATAAAGGCAACAGTAGTATACCGCTGTTCGAAATTCATAAATCGATTGAGAAAAAACAAATCCGGGTTACAAACTAAAACTGACAGAAACATATCAAAGGAGAACAACGACACAACAGAAACACTAAAATGCAACACACACAGAAAGGAACTAGAAGATAACAACTGCCATTTTCCTGACTTGGTACAGGACATTTTGAGAAAAATTGTGGGTTGAACCTGGTTTTGCGCTAGCCAAACCTCGCGCTTTAATGGCAATGGTAAATATAACACTAAAATAACAACTTTTTGACTTTTAGAGTAGTGTTTTTTTCTTAAAATGTCCTGTACAAAGTCAGGAAAATGGCCATTGTTATATTATAGTTCGTTTCTGTGTGTGTTACATTTTAATGTTGTGTTTCTGTTGTGTCGTAGTTCTCCTCTTATATTTGATGTGTTTCCCTCAGTTTTAGTTTGTAACCCGGATTTGTTTTTTTCTCAATCGATTTATGAATTTCGAACAGCGGTATACTACTGTTGCCTTGAATTATGTACTAATATATAAATATAATTCAAATTTCTAGATTCAAAAATTATCACAAAGTCTGGTGGTAGTACCGGTGGTATGTTATTTTCCGGAAAGTTCAAAGTATCTTTTCTTGATGTGAGTATTTTTTATTTCACATTATATGACACCAAGTTAATTTGATATATTTGAATGGACATTTTACATAATAAAAGCATGACTAAAATTCAAATAAAGAAAAATATTCAAAGGGTGACCGAACAACACATTAAATTGGGGAATACATATCTTTTTTTGTTTGTTTGCGTTTTTCATAATATATTTTCCTGTCCTGTTTTCTAACATTTATTTTAAAGGACATGTGATAGTAATTGGAAGCAGTGTTTAAATTTTGCGTATCACCCCACTATGCATTATTTTCAAAAATATACAATTTACGCAAATTTATTGCTATTATCATAATGTAAAAACATTAGTTTTTTTTAATTATATGATAATAAAAGATATACACCTTATCGCTATTTGGCCGCCATTACTGGACATCACAAAAGTTCCCGTAAAACTTTGACGTCATAATAGAAAATATCTGACGCCACAATGGAAAAGTGATTGTTGTATGACGTCAAAAGTTCAAGCGGGACAGATTCTCGGGTCAAGCGGGAATAGCGATAAGGTGTATTATAAGAGCATTTATATTTTCTCTAAGACATCATCCAGACTACTTCTTATGTGACGATATTTGAATAGCAATTAAAAACGTACAATTTGTAAAATAAATACTGATGCACCTTTTGTAATTTTAGTAATAATGTAGTTTATAATATAAATGTATATTTTATGTCTTGATTTTAAATTATCTTACTCTCATTTCAGTGAGACATATTTAGTTTATACATTCCCGTAATGGACGATGAGACAAGAAACGACGTATTGGAACGATCATCAATCTTGTGAAACCTGCTTTTAAACCAATTAGGCATTCATAATATTTGATAAAACATAATGTTCGTTTTTCATCAGTGTTTTTTTCTGTCTGTTTTTATATTCATATTCGAGCATGTCGAGCAAGAAGGGCTGATATATTTAACTTTAAACCATTGTTAAAATTTATGCATAAGTAATTAAAATTTTATTTTATAAATTCTTACCAAAATTACAACATAGAGAAACTAAACATTTGAATACGAATTCACAATTTGTGTCATATTGTGTGGCTATTTTGCACATCATCTGAAAGATAAGTTGAGGAAATCTTTCAATATACATATCACACCCATATAGGTTGCAATTCTGTAAATATAGACAATGCAATTTACCATAGGAATTCCCCTTGCGGCTAAAACTGTGACACTTTTACTATGAAGTTTCGTGAAAAATAATATCCCAGAACGGAAAATTTATATGCACTACTATTTTATTCAAAGGTCAAAATATAGGGCTGTGCGGCATATTTTCAACATTTATATGCCCTGAACTTCTATGAGTTTAAACTTATACTAAAATGCTATACAACCCTTACCTTCATATTTGGACCTCCTAAGAATTAAAATGTAGGCGCTACCATGTTTTTCTGTACTGGTTACATTCCCAAGTGATGTCTCTGTGAGATGAAACACAGAGATCATAAATGGGAACCAGTACATTATCAAATTAACATATCTATGAATATTATATATCTCCCCAAAAGAGGTGTGGTTTGAGAAACAGCTGTATTTACAAAGTGCAACCTATACAAACATTTATTCAAATAGATAACCTTCTAAAAACACTTTTTCTCACAACAATACTTATTTATCAGAATTATAGCCTTAAGGAAATCACTGCATATACTCTAAGTTTCCTTTTACAGTACATTTTATACCCCTACCCCTGTTTCAGTTTTTTAAAGAATTTGAAAACAAGATTTTAATTATTGCCAGCTTACCCTATGTGCATGTTTTCTGACATGAAATGTCTAAAACATGTTTGAAACTATTCTGATAACAAATTGAAAGCATTTTAGAATACTATAAATGTATTGTTTAGTAGTTAATCATTCCAACATTCAAGATTATACAAAGTATCCAATCCTGCCTCTGTCTCCAGTCCACATCTTACTGTATGCCTATTTGTCAATGAAAGTTCACAATTTCTGTCTCAAATGGTCAAGAATTCTTGTCACAACAGTATCATCTCTAACCATATAACTAACATATGTTAGTTAATGTATGACCTAGAAGTGTTTAAAAAAAGCCATATTTGCAAAATTGTATTGAAGAAGATATCAGTCTGGTGCATAAACTCAATAAAAGCTTGATAGAAATGACTGCTTACATCTTATTTTTGCATAACTTTCCAGCACAGTTATTGTTTCGTTTACAAAAGACCTTGAAAATAATAAAAGCATAGCATTTACAAGTTAAATTATCTGTTTTATGACCCAGGGTAGGCATTTTTTTCTGTTTTTTGCCCCCTGGGGCCTCACATTTCCTAAATATTTTCCCTGTTTTTAGCAAGTTGGAATATTTAGTATATATTTAGGATAGAACACACTATTGTAAGTTTTGTTGAGGTCTTTTTGTAATTCTAGCTTGTCCTTTTTAATGCCGCGGTCACAAAAAAACACATTTAGGTGTTACGGCTTACTTTTGGGTATTCGACAGGACAAAAATAACCCAACAAAATTATTTAGAAAGGATCAATGAGTTGCAATGACTGCGAAGAGTAAATATAAGCACTTCTAAACAATTTAAATCACAAATAGGCGTATATTATGAATTTATTTTGAATTCAGGGCCTTAAGTAAACCATGCATACTGTAAACTGTGAATTTATGCTGAGTCATCATAGTTAAGGCTCAGGATTTTTTCAATCTTCATGAAATATTTATAAAACTTCATATTTGAGTTAAATTCTTTAAAATCTCTGCGATAAACCAGATTTTGTGAAATTCTGTATGTTCTATTTTTTAACCCTATATAGGTTGCAATTCTGTAAATATTGACAATGCAATTTCCCATAGGAACTCCCCTTGCGGCTAAAACTGTGACACTTTTACTATGAAGTTTCGTGAAAAATAATATCCCAGAACGGAAAGTTTATATGCACTACTAGTTTATTCAAAGGTCAAAATATAGGGCTGTGCGGCATATTTTCAACATTTATATGCCCTGAACTTCTATGAGTTTAAACTTATACTAAAATGCTATACAACCCTTACCTTCATATTTGGACCTTCTAAGAATTAAAATGTAGGCGCTACCATGTTTTTCTGTACTGGTTACATTCCCAAGTGATGTCTCTATGAGATGAAACACAGAGATCATAAATAGGAACCAGTACATTATCAAATTAACATATCTATGAATATTATATATCTCCCCAAAAGAGGTGTGGTTTGAGAAACAGCTGTATTTACAAAGTGCAACCTGAAAGAGGAAATAAAGAAAGGTTGACGGCCTTTTTGCTGACTTATAAAATTCCTAACCAAAAAAAGGTACACCAAAAAAATAAATGGCTAAAATATTGTGCTCTGTAGTTTAAATGCGCTATCAATATTGTTAGGAACAATCAGGACTAAATTGGAAGGAAGTATCCAATGCTAGATATCATACGTATATACCAAGTAGGTACTCAAAAACCATTATTCAAAGAAAGAGAGACACCAATGTTAAACAAACAGAAAATCTCGAACAGACAATCAACGATCAACAAAATACCACACAAACATATTACAATTGCGCAACAAGAATCGGGAAGGTGTGAAAAGGATATTAATCCTTGCCCTATTGGTAGCATCTAGCATGTTACTCTTAATAAGCTTTAAAACATGATCGTTCCCTTTCTGTGTTTTTCATTCATTTTTAACTAAGCAAATGTTTACTTTCATTTAGC